TTTTTTTTTTTGTTAAACCAACTTTGGGAAATTTCTTGAATTCCCTTTCTTCTAGACAAATTTTTGAATTAATGTTTATCTCCCAGCAGCAGCCGTCATCTGGGAGTCTCTTTGGTTCCAGTTCAGCCAATACAGCAGTCTCATCTGGGAGTCTCTTTGGTTCAAGTTCAGCCAATACAGCAGTCTCATCTGGTGGTGGAGGATTTTTCAGCGGCCTAGGAGGCAAACCAAGCGAGGACGCTGCCAACAAGAATCCATTTGGCACCACCTCCTCCACTGGAGTGTTTGGACAGTCTGGTCAGACAGGTAGGCTAACTCAGTTCCATGAAAATGTCTACTGAGACTATGGTAAGATGTAATAAAACTGCAGATTAATTAGAAAATTTGAACAGTAGTTGCCGATTTATGTCACATTCAGAAATATTTTCATCATTTTTGTTCAAGTCTTTGTTCTGAGTCAGCGGTAACTACTTTGTCAAAGAACAAACCAAATAAACCTAGATCATTTTATTGTTGTGTAATTACATTTACCTGTCCGTCTTCTAGGTACCAACAGTCTCTTTGGTAATAGTGGTGCCAAGACCTTCAGCTTTGGACAGTCCTCCTTTGGGGAGCAGAAACCTACAGGGACCTTCAGCACTAGTGCTGGAAGTGTGGCATCCCAGGGCTTTGGCTCATTCTCTACACCATCAAAACCAGGTACAGCTTTCCTTGTAATTTTAATGCATTTGTTCTTCACTCCCTGCTTTTTAGTCTTGATATATTTTCACACGTTTTGAGTCGTGCATAGCTAGTTGTAATTCACAGGTAACGTTTTATAAGATTTATTGCTGCTGAGATTTTAAAACCAGACTTGTTTCTGTGTGCTGTTCCCCATTGCTTTGGAAAGAGTGTATTTTTGGTGAAAACTGAGAATTTTTGAGTTATGTTAATTTAAATAGATATTATAGACATGAACACAGGGCTTGAAAGCAGAGTTTAAAAAAGTTCTTGTAAAAGTACATACATCGACAATAGAAGGATCCCTTCTGTCAGACACACACACACACACAGTAGGCAACAGAGAGACAACAATGAAGACATCGTGTATTTTTCTTCCTGTTCAAGTAATATCTATCCACTAGGGGTGCAACGATACACAAAATTCACGGTTCGGTTCGGTTCGATACTTCGGTGTCACAGTTCGATATTTTTTTTCGATACAAAAAAAAATGTTCATGCCTTTTTAATTTGTCATTTATTAAAATTATAAATATATATTTTAACTCAAAAGTACAGTTTTTAAATTTAACCCTAACCCTTGTGCATGTTTTTTATTTTGACAGCGAATGCGCACCTGCGGACCACTTATGTGCAGCCCTGGTTAT